GCACTTCTTCAGCGCGTGATGTGATACGGGGGGAAATAAACGGTTAAAGTCTTCACTCTGTTAATTGCTTTTATTGGACCGGGTCCCAGAGTGTAGCTGTGGAAGTTACTGGACCTCACCTTAAGCTCATCTGTGGTGTGGTCGAGGAAGAAACAAGAGCATGGAAGAGACAACTAGAACATGTCAGACACTATACTGCATATTAGGCATTTTATTGTGAATTCTTTTAGGATTGCATCCTTTCCCTTTTATTTTCGTCTTAGTGATTTAACGTTTGCTAATAATTGGTCTGCCTTCTCCAAACGGCAGTCCGCGTTTCCCGTGTGTGTACTTGTCAGTGCCACAGACCCTGCCTTTCAGAAGCGAATCATCTCAGCTACCAGTTTAGTGTGACTGGAGCAATTGTCAATACCCCTTTTCCCTCTTTGTTAGCCCAAGTAACATCAATCGCTCTTACAGACTTTTACAATGATCAGTTTGCTGGCTCATTTTTCTTATGGCCTTCAGTATGAAGGTTCTCTGTCTAAATTAAGGGAAGGAGGCACTGCAGAAAGTACAGCTAAGTGTTGCAAAAGGCTGGAGTTGGGGAGGTAAGGATGAGGAGATAGCAATTTTTATATCCTAACAGTGAAAGTCAAATAATTTGTTAGTAGTTAGATGATTTTTTTTTTTTAGCAGTGGCACTTTTTGTTAATGAGGTGAAAATACCAAACGCATATGTTTGTTGGTGGACTCTAATGAGTCATACTACAAAGAAATAAGAAATACCACCACTACCACGGTGGTGAGGGGTACGGTACGATATGATTTGTAACAAAGTGGAATAAGGCTGAGAAAAGGGAGGCTTATGTAGAATGAAGTACTGTACAAAGAACAAGCATTTTCTTGTTACAAGTAGGAGTATAAAAAAATAAAGTGCAAGGGTCATATTTGTCAAAGCCTGAATATTATGTGTGTATTATAATGAATCAGTGGAGGTGACAGTTATTCTCTGACTCACCCACTGGCTTTGGGCAGGGTTAGTGTCCATCTCCATACAAGTCATGGATCTTTAACACTGAGCAAAAATGGTCCTCAGCTTCCATAAAATAGCGCTATTTTGTGATTTTTAGCCATCACAGTGTCTGGCAGTAGCACTTGGGAATTGTGTGGATTTGTGTGTGCGCTTTTGGGTCAATTAAATTGTCTGCATTATTTAAAACGGATTGTTCACAAACCTGTTTTTAAGTTAGTTATAAAGCTTTTAAATATACTAATTTGAGCAAAAGAGGTATTAAATCTCACTATGATTTGTTCTTGCCTTTTTTTTTTCCTTTTCTTTCGTTCTTGTCAGTTCTCAAAGCCTGGTGAGGAGAGTGGTGATTACCCCGATATGGCTAAGGAGGCGGGTAAGTTAATCATAAAGAAAGCATTTAGTTCGATTGCTGTCACTTATTTTAACTCTTACAGTCAACCTTATTATTAGACGTGTGAAGAAGCAGCTACTGTTCGGTGAATAGATACATACAAAAAAGCAAATCTAAAACTGGTAAAAAAGGAGCACTTTCACAAAATCTATAACCAACCTGTTCAACTCACTGCCTTCCAGTACTGAAGTCATAAGGGTAGGAATTGAACTGGACACTGAAATCATGCCTACCTGTATTACTCAAACATACTTTCATTGGGACAAACAACCTTTGTGCATGAACACAGAATTGATTACATGAAATTTTCTGATAAAGGAGCTTGTTTAGAACTCAAAATACTGCAAAATTGTCCTTATGAGAATTAATAAGCAGGACTAGATTAACCATTTGCATCGTATAACAAGGAATTTTTACAGCTTTCTTACTCGCTTGTGAATGCACTAATCATACCTACTAAGCTAGGTTTGCTTGTTATGATTGGGAGGTTTTTTTTTGTTTTTCCCCCCTCCCTTCAACTTATAAACTTTTTTTCAGGCCAGAAGGCTCTAGCTGATGCTGGGATTCCTTATTCAGCAGTGGAGCAGGCATGTGTGGGTTATGTTTATGGTAAGTAATGTCAGTTGATTGGGATGTGACATCTGTGACATTTGCAGACATCTGTGTGGGTAAAGTATAGGAAATCCCATCAGTTTCAGGTTATAGTATTTAATTGTGTCAGTTTGTAGAACTGTCTCAAACTTTTAAAAAATTACTATTTTTAGTGATCACAGATCTCTGTTTATTTGTGGAGTTTACAGTTCGAGTCGTGCGTATGGAAAGATTTCCGTAAAATTATGTCTTGCAAATGTGGTTTATACAAGTAGCTCTTTCAGCAAGATCAGGTGGTATATTTATTCAGGTGGTGCAAAACTTTTGTATTATAATGTGTATGGCAATAGACTTGCAAGTTGTTTCGTTCTTTGTGTGATGCTGTGTGTGCAGTAGAATGGATATGCTTGTTTATCCAGTGCTCTTGTGTTGAAGACACTTGCTAGGGGTATTTTGGAGACCAAACACGTACTGTGTGCTTGCACTTTCATCCCAAGTGGACAGAAAAGATACCTGCTTGGACTTGACTCTAAGTGATAGATGAGGTCTGCTCTGAGAGGTTCATAACTATTTTAATCCTATGGACATATATAAATACATAACCATGTTTAATGTACTGTAATAAGATTACTGAGAGTACATGCATTAGCGTAGCTCCAGATTAATGTGTGGCATATTACAGCACGGACTCGAGGTGAAAGTGAGACAAAGTTTATTTTGCAAGCAGTGCTTTGTACATCTTTACCCAGATGTGAGACAGCTCGGGACTTTCCATCCCGATAAGGCAACTATTCGCAGGAGTTTCTTACTCAGCTTCTAGCCAATCTGCAGACACATCACGTGCAGGCCAGCCAGCGAGGCTGCTGATCGCACGCTGTCTGTGTGCTTGTAGTTACAGGTAACAAGGGCCCCTTTCTTTCTCTTATCTTGTTTACTTTAGCTCTCTGCTCACCGCAGCAATCTGCTCCTATCCCCGTCTCCCACATTAATGCTTCACCGCTGATGTAGACAAGACTGAGTTGTTCAGATACCAACACAGTGCTGCCCTGCCTTCATTACCGGCAGGACCCTTGTCATGGTTTAACCCCAGCCAGCAACCAAGCAGCACCCAGCCCCTCACTCGCTCCCTGTTAGCGGGGTGGGGGACAGCCCCTCACTCGCTCCCTGTTAGCGGGGTGGGGGAGAGAATTGGAAGGGTAAAACTGAGAAAACTCATGGGTGTAGATAAAGACAGTTTAACGGGTAATGTAAAAGCTGTGCAGGCAAGCAAAGCAAAAGAAGGAATTCATTCACTACATGCTGTTGGCGGGCAGGTGTTCAGCCATCTCCAGTAAAGCAGGGCTCCACCACACGCAATGGTTACTTGGGAAGACAAATGCCATCACTCTGAGTGTCATCCCCTTCCTACTTCTCCCCCCAGCTTTGTATATTTGCTGAGCATGACATGATATGGTATGGAATATGCCTTTGGTCAGCCAGGGTCAGCTGTCCCGGCTGTGTCCCCTCCCAGCTCCTTGTGCACCCCCAGCCCCCTCACTGGTGGGGTGGGGCGAGAGGCGGAAGAGGCCTTGTAAAGCCAGTGTGAGCCCTGCTCAGTACCAACGAAAACATCCATGTATTATCAGCACTGTTTTCAGCACAAACCCAAAGCATAGCCCTGTACTAGCTGCTGTGAAGAACATTAACTCTGTCCCAGCCAAAACCAGCACATTCTCCACCCGTTATTCCATATCATTTATGTCATGCTCAGGGCACACGCTATCCAATACATCCTCGTTGACTCCCACCCGCCTTCCCAATGTTTGATACAATACACAGCTATCATTCCCTTCATCTGTGGACCACCCCTGTAAAATGTTCACAGAATGTCCGTTGAGTTAATTTCATCCATGACATTGGGCTCCGTCTGTTACAGTGGTCACTCAGGACAAGAGAGGTGGTGTGTTGCGTGGAGTTTCTGGGCACCAAAGCAAGCTCGGGTTGGGTCACTGCTGCACTTGCACTGCTTCTTGCAGGGCTTGTCCTCCACTGGTTCGGGTGATTTCCGCTATAGTAATTCCCATAACATGGAACTCAGATCCTGGGTTACAAGAATTTGAAGGTGTTTCCATTATAATATCCACCCCTGGTCCCTTTGGGCCACATTATGGGGTTTAACATTGCAATGAACTCCTCCCCTTGCCCTGCTCTGGCTGGGAAACATAGCCCCAAACTAGCTACTATGAAGAAAATTAACTCTCTCAGCTAAAACCAGCACAACCCTCAAACAGATTTCTAGTAGACACCCTTAGCAGAATCTTTTAACTTGCAGTCCGTGCTTATTGTAGTGAAAGGAGATGGTGTTAAATGACTGGTTTGAACCTTTTCCTGTCACTCAAATTCGTAGATGCCTGATGTATTTCTCAAAGCAGTCAAAATCAGGTTTCTGTTATGGGGAAATCTGTTTCCATTCCAAAGAGAGTTTTCCATTTACTTTCTTCCTGTTTCTATATTAATGACTGTATTTTGGCAACTGAAGTAGGGTCAGTCAGCTGTGATACCTGTAGCAGCTTCCAAGCCACACCTCTAAGATGTTTCTGTCCAGTCCATTTACCTTCCGTTGATTCACAGCCTGTTATCACAGAAGCAGGCCAAATTTCTGTTTTAATTGATGATTTTCATCTTGTTTGTAAGGCTCTTGTACTGTGGATACTTGAGAGACATACTCAAGATGACAGTTCGAAAGTTCAGGTTTACAGTTGAAGTGGTAGCATTGCACATACATGGTGGGATTTCTTTTTGCTGATGATATTAGAGCATGTACCTTATTTTAATCTTGTGTCTGTGTAAAGGTGACTCAACCTGTGGACAGCGGGCTATCTATCACAGTTTGGGTTTAACTGGCATTCCTATCATTAATGTTAACAACAACTGTGCTACTGGATCAACTGCTTTGTTCATGGCCAGACAACTAGTAGAAGGAGGTGAGTTGTTTTGCTCTGGATAATACATATCCTCTATTTCTATAAACATAACCTGAATGAAGAACAGAGCCAGTGAATGTGTGAGTACTGAGTTGTAAATGTCCTGTCCTCATAGGCAAAACTGTTTTCTGCCTCACTCAGCTGAAAAGGTTGGTCAGCTGTATACACAAATAGAAGACCAAGCACTTAAAAGAGTAAGATTGTCACTATGAACTGGAGCATTATGTGTGCACCTTAGAGACTATGTCTGTGATGCAGTAAGATGGTGTATATGGATATAAACATCCTTTCCTGTGTCACAAGCTGTATCAACCTAGTAAGTAATAAGCCAGCTAAGTTTTTTCTGGAAGAATTGTTTGGAGTAGTGTGGAACAAGTTGTGTTACAGTACTGCAAGACACTAGACTCTGCAGGATGAAGATGAGAGAAGAATCTGCTAGAAAGCTTGGCTTTTTTTTTTTTAAACTTGAAGTTAACATAAGTGTTTGACTAACGAATTTTTGACAGGGAGGGGAACAGAGCAAAGCCTTCTGACAGACTATGCTTTGAACTGACAGAGGAGTGTTTCCTTCTGTTTCTGTACTTCCTTAGTGGACTTTGATACTTTCTTGCACGTAAGTGCTGACATTTCTATACTGAAAACTGTAGTAACATTCTGTATACTTATTCTAGTATTTGTAGCAGAGACGTAAGTGCTTGGTCATCTAAGATAATTGCTGTCAAATAGTTTGAAAATAAATCAAACCTTGTAGTGAACTCTCATTCTTCAGCATCAATATGTTTGTATCAATACCATTCCCACCCCAGTTTAGCTCTTTCAAAAATGAAGAAAGGAGGAAGAGCATCTGGTAGGTGCTTATCTATGTTTCTTGTAATTCAGTAGTTGTTAGTACATAATGTCATTTATAATTACACTGTGTTTTAAATAGCCACAAATTTTATTTTAAGGTTTGGCAGATTGTGTTTTGGCACTTGGCTTTGAGAGGATGGCAAAAGGATCCCTTGGTGTAGGTGTAAGTGAAACGCTTTATACACTTCATTATCTTTGTAGATGAAATATACCTCCTCAGTCTCTGAGACATATTCTTATAAATATCAGTTGCTTTAAGCTGTTGTTATAGAGGATTACAAAATAAACCATTATTCTTATCCATGGAAACTTAATGAATTTTGAGTCTGATTTCAGCTATGATATACAAATTTTGCATGGAATGTTTAGGATTGATTTTATGCAGTATGTCATGCTTTTAGTATTTTGACAAGAAGACATTAAAGGTAGGATTAACAGGGAATAATGAAAATGCCAGATAGAATACCAAAGCACTGAATAGTTGAAGTGTCTGTCTTAAAATGACACAGCAAATTGAAGAAAGAATCCAAGTCTTCTGACTTTTGGCTTGATACTCAGTTGACCAGTTAACATGCTCCCAAAACCTAAGGGCTTCTGTAGACCTTTCTTTCTTGTCTCTTCTTTTTTTTTTGCGAACTGGAGAAGCGTGGGATTTTTGTTTGTATTTTGCCTCACGGCATTAGAGCCCGTGTGTCATTTAACTACAGAACTGCCAAATTTGGTAACATATGCAGAAGTTTGGCTGAGAAATGTTAAATTTAACAACTGATTGAAATGAGTAAGAGTTATCTTTAACATGCTGTACGATATTTTATCTAAGCTTCTTTGAAAATACTACTACAGTGTTCATTTTATAACTTGGAACTGTATCAGCTGTAGAATTTTGAGCTGAGGTGGAAAATACCTGAAGTCCTCTGCTGAAAATAGTGACTGTGGTAGAAATCACATAGGAGTGGTCCCTACCGTGAATAAGCGCAGTGATAATGTTAAGCATTTTCTGCCCATTTCCTCTTTCTTATGGTTAGGAATTTATGAATGCTTCAAAACATGTCACTGAAGTGCAATGTACTGTCCACTAGAATTGTTAAAATATTGAAAACCTCTAGTTGAAATCCATGGCACTTTTTTTGTGGCAATGTAAAGAAAAGGAAATTATGACTTGCTTTATAACTATTTCTCTTAGTTTTCAGACAGAACTAATCCAGTGGATAAACATTTGGAAATTATGGTAAATAAATATGGCTTAGCAAGTGCTCCAGTAGCACCTCAGATGTTTGGAAGTGCTGGCAAAGAATATATGGAGAAATATGGTATGTTAAATTTTTTTCATTGTCCTCTTTTAATGAAGTGATTTTAAAAAATACATATTAGGATTTCATTTTTAAAAAATGGTAGCGTTCAGCATCCTTTCTTTTGCCCAAGTACTACAACTGCAACATCTACAACTAGCATATATGGGAATACATTTGGATAAAGAGTTATCTACAGAAAAACTTAGTGATGTGTAGGCAAACAAACCCATCAGGAGACAAATTATGGCTGTGATACAGAGTATCTGGTAGTCATGCGAATGGTAGGGTTTGTGCTTCTGTAAGGTCTGGGCGATAAGGTTGTATAACTTCCTGCATTTTTTCCTTGTGTCTTAGGATGGGTAGATAGGCTTGGGACTGAATTGTCTGACAAAAGCTTTTGGGTATTTGATTCAATATATAGTACTAGCCTGCTGCCACTGCTGTTTCTTCCCCCCTCACCAGACAAGGGAACTGGCTCCAAGGTAACAGGCTGGCCTGCTGAGCATCTTTTATTTGCACTTAGTTGTAGACCAGTGTATGTCTTGCACTGGTAGGAAAATGAGCATTCGGGTTTCAGTAATGTAATAATGCCTCAAATCAAATGTACTTATTTTCTGTATTTTGACATTAGCAAGTGTTAAATATCCAATTAGGATGTTCTGTGAGCTAAAACTCAACCACGTTTAATAGTCTTTATCTAGTTTTTAGACCTGAGTTGTAAGGAAAGCCTTGATAACAATGACCCTCTTATAAAGATGCTTGTAAAGGTCAAATTCTTATGACACAGTATTTAAAATGTTATGTTCGCGCTGTTTGTATTTCAAAGTGTTTCAACACAGGTTGGTTTCCCCTTCCAGGGACAAATCCAGAGTACTTTGCAAAAATTGCATGGAAGAATCATAGCCATTCAACTAACAACCCGTGAGTAATGTAGTCTGCCTCTATACTGAACATATGTTGCTGTTAAAAAATTCATGCAAAACTGAGTATTATTTTTAGAAATACTTTGCAGGGTATATTCTTTATTGTGGCATGAGAATTATACCCAGCATAAATTCTACATCCAGTGCCTTACACTTTGTAAAAACAGCTCTATAGCTGCCTAATTGTGTGATACTAATACGTCTACCACAAAGGGCTGTGCTAAAACTAAGATGGCATCTGTATGTTTTTTGTAGGTATTCCCAGTTCCAAAAGGAATACACACTAGATGAAGTTCTGCATTCTCGCAAAATTTTTGATTTCTTGACTGTGTTACAGTGTTGGTAAGGAGAGGACTTAACATTGTGAAATAAATCTTGATGTTAAGACAAATATGGTAGGACATCTGTTTAAATAAAGGTCTGTTTGCATGTAAATTAAAATTTACAGATTATTTTAAGTAAAACTTCTTATAAATAAAACAAATGTGGAATGTCTGTCCTGACCAAACACTGTCTAGATACTTGGTCACAGTATAATACAGTAAACTTACTATGTTTTGTACTTTGGGGCTCTTGCGTCAGTCTGTATCTTTTACGAACATGCGTCCATTGCTGTTAAGTGTTAATACTTCTCTTCAGCCTTTTCTGTACACTCCTGAAAGGCTTGTTGTTAACAATGTTTATAGCCAAGTAGAAGCTTTGATTTTTTTTTTTCTCATCTGAAAAACCTTAATGATACGTTTGTATTTTGATGTCATGATTTTCAAATGTGTGTTATAAATATTAGTGAAAGTGTCCAGCAAACACTGATGGGGTTTATTCAGTGGCTTCAGCCAAAGAAAGTGGGTTTTTTCTTGTCTTTTTTTTTTTTTGGTTTGTATGAAAAGATAATTCTATGGAAGACTGACATTACTAATTTAGAATGATGACATCAGGATTTTTCTTTCAATCAGCCCAACATCGAATGGTGCCGCAGCTGCAATTTTGGCTAGTGAGGAGTTTGTGAAAAGGCATAAATTGCAGCCAAAAGCTGTGGAAATTCTAGCCCAGGTGATGGCTACTGATTATCCAAGCACATTTGAAGGAAACAGTTGTATGAAGATGGTAGGTTTACAATTCTGTGTTCCCTGATACTCCTCTGGGTTGTTTTTTTAATACCTGCAAGTCCTAATGATACTGTAGACGTTTCCGTGTCAGAAAGCAAACAAATTATACTTTGTGGTGAATGTAGAAGCAACTTCATTTGTGCAGGTAAAGTAAGCAAAGAGTTTGGTTGTAGAAGAACAGTGAGAAAGTTATAAACAGGCTGTCAGAAACCTAGTTTATAACAGATTGCTTAAAGGTTACTTTTTAAACAACTTCAACAGCAAGAAGAACACTTCTTTAATTTTTCTGTTTGTAAGAGTAATGGAACTTAAGACAATTTTATTTATGTTTGTGTAATACTGAAGCTGAAATAACCTGTTGGGTATAGTCATGATTGCTTGCTTGAGTGGATTGAAGGGAAAGACTTGAACTGCCAAATTTGGATCCCACTTCAAATTGACTGAAATAATTGGATGTAAGTCAAAGCATCAGAATACCCAGTAGTTTCTACCGCAGTCATGTTCTATTTGTGTTTCAAATCCATTTCTAGTCAGGTGGCTGACATAAAAAGGTAGCAAGGCAGATCGAGGATTTGTTTCAAGGCTGTTAATCTGAGTTGTGCAATTTGGCTTGTGAGCAAGGTTGAGAACATAGAGGATGTTCCAAAGAAGGGTTTCCACATGCCAACAACGAGACTTAGAATGTATTATTTCCTTTTGTACAATTTGTACTGCATGAATATTAAGCTCTGTGATATGTGATGCATTAAAACAAATTAGAACGCCACCTCCTGCGGATTACTTACAGGATATATAGAAGCATGTTTAAAATTAAGTGTAGAAATGAAATTGCTAGCTATGTTTCTTTAATGATATTTTAATGAACAATTTCTTCTTGTTGCAGGTTGGCTACGATATGACTAAAAAAGCTGCAGAAAAATGTTTTGAAAAAGCAGGCCTAAAACCTAAAGATGTTGATGTGATCGAACTTCATGACTGTTTCTCAGTTAATGAGTTAATTACCTACGAAGCTCTGGGACTCTGTCCAGAAGGTAAGAGATGGATCAGTGGAGATCATTGTTTTGTTAAAACGGAAAGCATTAAAAATATCTTTTTATCTGTTCATTTAATTAGAACTTCGAGTTGTCTACTGAACAGGTCTTCTATATTTGGAAGCCTTATTAGCTAACCTCATAAGAGGGAAAAGCAAATTACCACTGTAGTAACATAAGGAAGACCTGCAAGCTCTAGAATTAGTTTAACAAATAAGCATTTTACTGTGATTTCTGAAGAAATGTACAAGGCAAAATGTTGAACAACTACGTGAAATCATAAGGCTAGCTTGTGCAGAGATGGCTTTTTTAAGCAAAAAGAGCAAGGGAATGAAGGACTCTTGTGATCTTTCTCAATATTATGCCCTTTTTCAGGGCTATATACTTACCTACCCCAAGGTTTGCCTCCATCTTTGTATTTCCTTTTAAGAAGATAAATATCAGACAAGAATTGCCTATAGAGGGCCTTACCAAGTTACTTATTTTTGATACGACTTTTTTTTAAGTCTTGAAACAGCTTTGCCTTTGAAAATACAGAGTTGTTGGCAAGTTGTGAACGTGCCTCTAAAGTCAGCCATGTAACAATGCACAGTCTGTGCAGATCAGTTTAATTTCATTGATTTCAGTGGATTTAGAAGAGGTTAAACGACAGTGGAGTTTAGTTCTGTGTGTGTAAGTCAAACCATTAAAATTTTCTACTGAAGAGGTTTTGGTTTGATTTCAAATAAGTAACATATTGAACAGCTGCTTTAGTATTTGATGTATTTAAACTCTAAATGTATTCTTGCTTTGCATAAATAATCATCTGATGTAATCTGTCTCTGATTTTTTTAACTAATTTTGAGACAATACCATACTCTGTCACTAGGTGGTGTATTGTATTAAGTCTGAGCTTTTTCACTGAAACAGAGACGTTCGCAGATCGTCAGGAAGACTTTTTATGTGTTTGTAGGTCTTCAAATATTTGCCTTTGAATGCTTGCTTTTTACTGTTATCTTTGCTGTGTTTTTACGGTATCTGCAGTAAAAATGGTAAACATATGACATTATTTAAATAGGTACATGAATCTTTTTAGTTTCATTCCTTTAATCGAAGATACAGAAGAGTCCTGATGGTACTTGTCTATTTTGACCAGTAAATCTTTTGTATGGTAATTTAATAGTGCAATTCTTACCACCTTTCAGTCAGTCTGACCTTAATAGTATGTGAAACTTATCTTGGAATGGTAGAGTAATTAGACACAGAGATTTGTGAAATGGCGTAAAGCACACTGTGGATTTAGATGTGCAAGACTAACCTGGTATTCTCACTTAAGGGCAGAAGTAAGTTACAAATACAGGAAATGTGGCACATCTTTTTTAGACTTCAGCGTTAACAGTGTAGGCCGAAGAAGCTATTCAAGACCCGCCTGGACAAGGTCCTGTGCAGCCTGCTGTAGGTGACCCTGCTTCGGCAGGGGGGTTGGACTAGATGACCCACAGAGGTTCCTTCCAACCCCTACCGTTATGTGATTCTGTGAGTAAGGGACTGGTTAAAAGGGAGAGCTGCCTGCTGAAGGCGTGGCAGCTAACAGTCTGGAAGGTTAAGTAATTCTAAGCGTTAGTCTTGTGAGTGGTTTTATTTACTATCTTAATGTCTTCATACAGCCCAGGGTACCGTTAGCCTTCTTTATGGCAAGGGCTCACGTTCAACTTAGTGTTCACCAGGACCTCCATGTCCTGGGGGTCACAAATTACGATTAACCCCTCTTTTACAAAATAACATAGTTATCAATGCAGTTTCATTATTAAAATAGTGATCCGTTTCATTATATTGATCATATCGTAATACCGTGTATCAACAAAACAGCTCAACAGCAAATTTAAAAAAAGCTTTTGTATCAGACACTAACCCTTTCACCACTTTTCCATGTTATATTTTCTCCAGTGGTATAAGCAAGTCTCGTTAATGTAGTTTGGCTACTTTCAGTCTGCTCTTTGTAAAATCTCTGGTGTAATGTTTCCTAGGTTTTGACTGTCATGCAGTATCTTCGGTAAGTGACGGTAGAATTGAAATAATCATTTAAAACCAAAAAAGGAACATTTTTTTCTTTTATAAATACTGTTTTATAGGACGAGCATCTGACCTGATTGACAGAGGAGACAACACTTATGGAGGAAAATGGGTTATTAATCCCAGCGGTGGCTTGATTTCGAAGGGACATCCTCTTGGTGCTACAGGTATGCAAAAACATTTCCCCTAGTCATGCCAGTTAGGTATGAGATACAGCCCTTGAGCAGACAGATGCTTCCCTCCTGTACTTGTTTGTATGAAACGTGAGGGCTTCCTCAGACTGCAAAGCAGCTCTGGAGTTGATTCTCATTTCCAACTAATAGCAAGCATTAAGGCACGTTGACCATGCAGGATTGCTCAAACCAAAAGCCTTGGAGTGTGAATTTGATTATTAGCACTCAATTTTATGGTATTTTTCTTCCCCTCTTGTTATTACAGCAATCTGCAAAACAGCTTAACTTTTTTCCTAAATAATTGCTCAGTAGTGCAACGTCTGCTGAATGCAGTTTGAATGACTATTTTTGTATGTTGTCATCCTTTAAAATTCAGATTTTGGAGATTTTTACTGCATCTGAATAGCCTGTACCCTTGTTAGCTGTAATAAAAACCATTTCTGTTAAGCCTTGGATATCAAAATATTTATGTGATGTTTACAACAGAAGCTCTGTTAGTCACCGTTTCCCAGCAACACAGATTTTTCTTTGTTTTGTTTTGTTTTTTGTTTTCTTTAAACTGCTACACTTGCTTCTAAATGAGATGGCTCTTGGAGAAAATTTGTCTGGATTTGTGAAGAGCATTCACCTTGCTTATTTGGAAATGAGAAGTTGTCAGAAAACTGGAGAAGAGGAAGCCTTGTAAAACAACCAACTTTCGTCTAAACAGCTGTAACAGCTGGATAATCTGCACTTAATGTAGGGGGAGGAAGTGTTAGGAAATTTTGGATGAAAAACATTGCAGGTGAATTCAGCGTGACCTCGACAGGCTGGAAAGTTGGGCAGAGAGGAACCTGATGAGGTTCAACAAAGGCAAATGCAGCGTCCTGCACCTGGGGAGGAATAACCCCATGCACCAGTACAGGCTTGGGGCAGACCTGCGGAGAGACACCTGGGTGTCCTAGTGGACGACAGGTTGACCATGAGCCAGCAGTGTGCCCTGGCTGCCAAGAAGGCCAATGGCATCCTGGGTTGCATTAGGAAGAGTGTGGTCAGTAGGTCAAGGGAGGTTCTCCTTCCCCTGTACTCAGCCCTAGTGAGGCCCCATCTGGAGCACTGTGTCCAGTTCTGGGCTCCCCAGTTCAAGAAAGATGAGGAGCTACTGGAGAGAGTCCAGCGGAGGGCTATGAGGATGGTGAGGG